TAAAAAGAATAATGCAGGGAACTCTTGATCTCTTTCTTTCTTTCTTTCTTTCTTTCTTTCTTTCTTTCTTTCTTTCTTTCTTTTTCTTTCTTTCTTTCTTTCTTTCTTTCTTTCTCTTTCTTTCCTTCCTTCCTTCCTTCCTTCCTTCCTTCCTTCCTTCCCATATTTACACTGCACAGCGCTCCTAGCAAATCCGACAGCAGCAGCTTTATCTCACGTCCTTCTACATTTAGAGACATCAATGACTGGTAGGTTTCAATTGTGGCATATGTTTTGTTACTCACCCCCTCCCACCAATTAGGGACCAGACGTGTTTTTTTCCCCTAAAATATATCTTTCCAAGAACAGGACGCGCGCGCAAAATTCCGACCTCCCTCCCCCCACCCTCAATATATTCTCATTAAAGTACTTTTAACAACTGAGATAAATTTCTCTGCTTATCTTCTTGGATTGCTTGATGCTCCCGAGGCTGCCTCTCTATTTTAACAGCATGGTTTATGTATCTATTACTTTTTTTAAAAGGAAAATATATTCTCTACATAAGCCTCCAAAGGTTTCATTATCTTTATAAAAAGCCCTACTGTACTAACCTTTTTTTGAATCCTCCTCATTCGGTAATAAATCACCAAGTGGAGATTTGAGCCGTTTTATTTATTATCACAAATCACATAATAATACATTCAATTTATTGTCATCTTTATCATTATTATGAAAGGAGGAGGGGAAGAATACATGACTATATAAAGCCGGGGAAACGTGCTATGTAACAGGCATTTGCATAGGGCCCTACGTATAATAGGCTTGGGGTAAGAAACAATTTACATTGGGACTCTACCGCGAGCGATAGCTATGTAATAACGGCGAGAAATTCACTAGCCGGAAGGAACGAGGGAGACGTCGAACAGACACACGGACACACGGACACCGGCGACGAGCACAAGGCGAACAAAATCGACACAGAAGAATACTTGAGTCCAGTCAGAAAGAGAATATTGCATATATTTCAGCGCCTTCGTTTTTAGTGGATCGGCCCCTCCCTCCCTCAAACCACCCCACCCACCCCTCCTCTTCCTCCAGGGATAGCCTTGGGTCCGCAGGAGCAAAGCTTGGGTTTAACTTTTTTTTTTTTTTTTTTTTGCTGATGTCTGGGGTTTCCAAGCTCAGGGAGAGCGCAACTGCCCTGGGGCTGTGAAATAGTGTATGAGCAAGGCAGCCAGTCCCCCTTATGGGCACAGCACTCCTTCTTCCCCGGATGGCAGGATTTACCTAAGCGCGCCTGCTTATGCTGACTGTAAACCGAGCGGTGCCTGGTAAAGCTGCCCACTTTCAAATACACACTCGCGGCGAGTTCACATTAGTCCCGGGTTGCAAGGCGTCGCGAGCTGGACGGGAGACCCTCGAGATAATAAATCTAGGGCAATATTGATAAGTCTGATACCTTAAACCGCTCTTACGCGGTCCTGTTCCCCACCCGCACGGCGGCCAAGGCTACCTGATCTCAATTATACAATGCCAATATCACATTATACTGCAGTGGCTCAAGGGCATTCTCTCTCTCTCTCTCTCTCTCTCTCTCTCTCTCTCTCTCTCTCTCTCTCTCTCTCTCTCTCTCTCTCCCCCTCTCTCTTTTTCCCTCCCTTCCTCCCTCCCTCCCCCTCCCTCTCTCCTCCTCTCCCCTTCTTTCTCCCCTCTATTTTAAGCGCAAACACACTCCACACAAACCACATGCCCACGCTTTTCAGGATAAACAAGAAAGCCAAATCAGGGCAAAAGGGATTTTTCGGGTCAGCCGCTGCTGAAGGGAAGGAGAGAGTAGAGGAACCTTTGGTTTTGCAGTTCTCGAAGGAAATAAGTAAGACTCCACACATCTTCCCACCATTCCAAAGCGCCTTCATTACACGTCGGCGGGAGAATAGCCATAAACACGCGTACATTTGTTGCACACCACTATTCTAGGATCTCTCTCGCTTTCAGGTCACAGCCAGGTGGAACTTCCCTTCTTTTGTTGCGGTGTGTTTGCGCGTGCGTGTCTCTGTGTGTGTGAAGCCTGCAGAAGGTGTGCCCTCCTGAAGAGAGGGGGATAGACATTAGAGAGCGTTCTCCAGTCCCCTGCGGAAGGATGAGGCGGGCGGCTAAAACAGTATCCGTACAGGCCTAAGGTTTTTTTTTTAAGCTCCCAGGGAAGGGGGTGGCGGCCAAAGGCATTTGAAAGACTAGCCGGCAGATCGTAAAGGCGAGGAATTCCTGCTTCCAGCCGTGACCGTGAACGTCCCTGCCAAGAAGCCGGCGCTAGTAGCCAGAGTCTCCGCAAAGCCCACTATGGCGGTTATTGTGGGAATGTAATTATGAAAGCAGCAAAACTGGGGTGAGGGTGGGGAAGAGAGGACCCGCTGCTCCTCTCAGAGGAAAGAAGAAACCTCCAAAACCTGGCAGTTGTTAGAAAAACAAATTGTCACTTTCTTTAGGAAGTGATAACCCGGCCACTAACAACACAAATGACCGACAAAGAAACAACTAGCGCCCGCCCTTGTGCTTTCCTCTCTCTCCTGTCCTGCTCTAGGCGGTAAGGGGGGAAATGCAGATGAAAGAGAGTCGGTGGCAGACTTGCAGAGCTGGGTGGAAACCACCCCTATCTGCACAAGTGGATTCTGAAGTGCCAGCCCTGCATGCATGCATGCGGGCGGGCGGGCGGGCTGGTGGGTGGGTCAGAAGAAGGAGAGAAATAACGCGACACACTCCATAAATGTTCACAGTTGGCAGCTGCTACCTATGGCAAATCGGGAATGAAAAAATTCAAGCGCGCGCGCGCGCGAACAGAGATCCGAGAAAGGGGCATGCACGCGCATACAGAAATCTCCTGCATTTTGAGGAGGGGGGGAGAGAGAACAGGGCTTCGATACCGCTTTTCCTCTAATTCTGTGCTTCTTAGTGTCAATACAAGAGATATTAAAAGAGGGGAGTGATAAGAGACGGGGAACACCCCCCCTTTTTTGTTCATTTAACCACAAAAATCATTGATAAATGCTCTAATATTAGAGTGCGTCTTTCATGCAAGCCGCAAACGCTATTAATAGCTTAATTAGTTCCAAGGGGCTGCCACTGTGGTTAATGTATATAAAAAAGGAGGGGCCATCCCCCCCCCTTTCTCACAACCTTCTTAATCGTCAATAAATAGAACGGCACAATAAACAGCACAACCTCTCCTTCAACCGAGCTATTATTAAAGCACAAACTGAAATTATTGTTAAGCATTCTATTAGGGGAGAGTGAGAGGCAGGCAGGGAACAGAAAGCGAGGGTGGGGGTGGGGGTGGGGGAGATTGCAAGGGAGGCAGCTTCCAAAAGATCAGTTTACGGATAAAATAAACACATACCATAAATGAGGTAACGTCGTTAAGAATTTTCCTATTTTTTTTAAAAAAATTTAGCAATGCATTTCGCTAAAGACAACCCCCCTCCCTTCCACATACATACACACGCACGTACGCGTACCTATAGATAATGGTAGCCCGTGAACCGCTCTGTATATCGGTGGAGGCTGAGTGAACGGCCCCACTCTCCTGCCGCAGTGACTTTCAGGACAATAACTCCCGAGTAGCACCAGCCCCCCCTTTGATTGCCTGAGAACCCCCCCCCCATGGGTAGAGACAGACAGCTGGGTAGATGATCTGTACCATCTGCGCCATTAGAGACGGAGAGATTCAGCTCACCTGAGTACCACAGTCGCCTCTCCCCGAATCTCGCCTTGAAAGCCAGTTCTGACCACACCTGGCTCGCCAAGCCTCCGGGAGAATGGTTCCGAGTGAGTTCAGACGAAGGTCACATCCACGCGTGCTTTTCCCCCCTTCCTTTCCAGCGAATAACAAAATCCCAACAGGAGCCCCCCACCCCACCCCACCCCCACGCCGAGCAGCGGGCAGCGAGTCCTTCCTCCACCCTCCTTCCTTCTCCGCCTCTCCCTGCCGACGAGCTAAACCCAACCCGACCGCCAGAGAGCCAGGTAAAGAGAAAACGGAGGCAGCCTCTGGGGCTTGTTCGGGAAAGCGCTCTGCGTGTGGCGGCTTGCCCAAGCCAAGAACCATCCACTTGAAATGGCATTCACGGAGCACTCCTGTCCCTGGCTGGCAAGTCTTTTTTAGCTGCAAGAACCCAGGCGGACCGAGGGAGGCGGTCCCTGGTATCTGCGCATTCCCATTCTAAGCGCTTCCCTGCAGATTTAGGAGCGGAAGAAAAACATTTTCTCATATTCACACTCTCGCTTTCTCTCTCGCTCTCCCGCGCGCTCTCTCCCTCTCACGCACACACAACCCCCACCCCCACGCCTACTGCCGGGCATTTTGAAAAAAAAAAGGATACTGATTAATATTAATAACATTATCATCATTGAAGGAAAATAAAATCTCAACCACACCAGCTAAGAGTCCCGGGTCCATCAGCTAGCACGAAGGCTTAGAAGAGTCTTTAGCGGTTTCCCCCACAGTTGGGAGCAGCTCTAAAAGAAAGAAAGCGCTTGCTCCCTCAAAAGAAGTCTTTTCTTTTTCATCCGTCGGTTCTGGAACCAGATCTTCACCTGCTGGTCGCTCAGGTTTAGCCGGTCGGAAAGCTCTCTCCTTCTTTGGCGGGTGATGAACTCGTTGACCATAAATTCACCTTCCAGCTCCGCTAGTTGCAGCTTGGAGTAGGGCTTTCGCTTTTTGCGGGACCTCGTGTGCATCGGATACCAGGGAGCACCTAAGAAGAGGGAGATGGAAAAGGAGATTTAATATGCAGAGCGAGAGCGAGAGAGTAAGAGAGAGAGAGAGGGAGAGAAGGAGCGTGTCTCAGAAGGGGTCCTTCTCTCCTTTGACTCACTTCCCAGACAGATTCCACATACTTCTTCAGTGCCAAACTCTAGGGATGTTACCTCGAACATTATCACCCGCCCTTAAGGAAAACAAAGTTCTCAAAACTGCAGGGATCTGGAAAAATAATTAGAGGTTAAAACCTAGCTGATATTCTCTTACAGGGAGGGAGGGAGGGAAGGAGGGGGAAGGGAAGCACAGACATTGCCCACGATTGTTGTTTGAGAAGGAATGTTAAGAAGGAAAGAGTCCCAATCTCTTATTTTTAAAACCGATCAGATAAACAGAACAAGGCCTTCAGCGGTATAAAAGTTTCCCTACCTCGATAGGCAAAGGACTTAAGGGATCCCACGGGGCTGGCACAGTTTTCGAAAGCTACTTTGGAAGAACTTTCGGGACGAGGGGTTAGAGAGTCCAAATGCCCGAGACCGGATTTTACAGGGGAGGGAAAACCGAACCGATCCCTCTTCCCGGAAGAGTTTCCGACGGGAGAAAACAAGCGTCTAACCGGAGGACGTGCTATTATGGTTCGTGGCGTCTCTTTATTCAGGCACCGGCGTCTCCCCGGTTTGCGGAGGGGGGAGCGCTGGGCTGTTCGTGGGGAGACGACGAGGTTGGAGGATCAAGTTCTAGATAGAACTTAGACCCCCTTCTTCCAGAAGGAACCGGTCCGGGTGATCGTCTGGAACAGCTTCACGTCTACCAGAGTTAACAAATAACACTCACCCACCCCACCACCCCACCACCCCCGCCTTTGGTGGGGATTTTCTTCCGCGGACTAAGAAAGGGCGCCTGTGAACTTTTAATAAATCGAGAAAGAAAGTGTCATCCCGACCAGCGCCACCTCGCCCGACCGCTCCGGAGACGGCCAGAAGCTGCCTAGAGGTTGGGGAGGGGTAGGGAGAGAAAAAGGCAAGGGAAATCGCCTTCCCGTCTGTCTGCTTGGGCCCTCGCGATCCCTTTTTTATGGGATATTTACATGTTTATAGGCTTTTTCCCCCTTTTAAAAGAAGCACCTCCTAATAAAGCGCGAGGCATTTGAGGGCTACCCCTAGTGGCTTCGGCACAAATCGGCAGGCGGGCGGGCGCAGCCCAGCTGCTAATTTCCTGGAATTTGGAGCAGACTTTCCCAGCCCGGAGGGAGAGGTAGGAAAGGGGGGAAAAAGGAGGGAAGGAAAGGGAAGAAGGCGTTGCATAAATCCGTTTTGCTTTGCTTTACGAAGAGCCGACTCTTTTTCTCCCAGGCGCAGGATCTTACCCCCAGCGGACAGATTGTTTCCTTGGTTGAGAGGGGAGACCAGTGCGGACGGCTCGTTGGTTGCGCCCTTGTTCCCTTCATTGAGCAAAGAGCTGCTGGAGTCTGACTCCAACGACTGACAAGAAGGGGGGTCATGGGACACCGCCGCCTCAGGAGCAGGATAATCAAATTTGCCGAAATTGCCGCTCATTCCGTGGGGGATGCCCGACTCGAGGGGCATCAAGGCAGCGTCCCTAACTCTCTCTTCCCTTTTGAGGGGCGCGTTCTCCGAGCACGCCTCCCTATAGTAGCACTTGCTCTCTTCCACTCTAGCTAGGTCGCAGGCTCGGCTGAAGGAAGGGTTAATGGACACGGGGCTGCTGAGGTAGGGCTGGGGATATCCGTTGCAGGGCTCCGAGGATGCCCAGGGCAAAGAACAGACATTGTCCCGTCTTGGGTAGGAGAGAGACGGCAAGCCGGGTAGTTGTCCTCCGGAGGCTCGGAAATTGGGAAAGTAGAAGGTGTCTCCCGTATGGATGTTCACCAACGGTCCCACAAACCCAGGATTAAGGAGATTATGTTCGCCCATTTCCGCGGGCCTGACCAAGAGCTTCTAGTTTATTGCTATCTGACATTAAACATAGTTAAACCTAAAGGTCCACCCGATTGGTCTGGAAGAGGTCACGTGAGCGCCAACTTGCGTTAAGAAAGGGTGCCACCCACCTTTCGCAATTTGAGACGGGAACGCAACACGAAGTTCTGTCTGTCGGGCGGGTTCTCTCTCTCTCTCTCTCTCTCTCTCTCTCTCTCTCTCTCTCNGCTGGCTGGGGAATTCTGGGAGTTGAAGTCCGGACATCTTCAAGTTGCCAAGGTTGGGAAACACTGCCCTAAGCATTGACAAATCTTGGTGCTCCTCTTCTTTGTACATACTGTACAAATCTTCTTTTATTTTTAATATCTTTCTCAACTTTGTGGTGCCCCCTTTGGGCCTGGTGCCTTAAACATGCGCTTTGTCTGCTTAATGGTTAATACACCACGGTTTCTAAGGCTGATGGAAGCAGGTAAGAAAAAAAACCGGTGGCCATTACCATGATAATTTTGTTTTTACAAGTGCTCAATGTAGGAATATCTCCTCCCAGGCATTTTGGTTCTTGGAGGATTTTGAAAGGAAATCAAGATAGCAGTTGAGAAGCTTAGCTATGCTGCCTGTTTCACCTTGGGGATGGGGGGAGGGGAGAAAGCCACACAAGGTAATATCCTCCTAAAGAGACCCCGATGCTAATAATAATGATGATGATGATGCCTGCATTTGGAGCCATTATTTAATATTAGTATTTCATTTTCCCCCTGTTCCCTTTCATGAAATAATGCTAATGATGCATGATAATCATCCTGTTCACAAACCTCATAACAGATGAATTATCCTTCATCACTGAAATGAATTTCCACATGTCCTGTAAATTATACACTCCTAGCCAATGAACATGTGTCTTGGAGAAGATTAAAGGAAGTCCTGGGTACCCCTGCTATAGCTATTCTGCCTCCTCCTTTACTCTTGGGCTGGGATTCTTAAAGATCTTTAAATGCTGCATAACAAGAAAAGCATTCCTATTATTCTGTTAAGTGTGGGGAGAGGGAAGAAGAGATTGTTTTTAGCAAATAATTCGCTTTGGTATATTTACAATCAGCATTCTAGCCAAAGACATGAAAGGGTCATTTTATTTAAATCCTAGAAAGGCATTAAGATGTTCAGTTTTCTGAGCATGCTGTGAAAGGAGGTTTTTTTTAAAAAGAATACTTAATTATGGAAAAGTTCTCCAGGCAACATTATGCACACACTACTAGTACTGAGAAGTAAATTAGTCTTAAATTCAAACAGGCCTATTCCCAGATACAGGTCTGTGGTTTTATTTTTTTAAGCAGAAGACTTGGGCAGCTCCATTTAAAATATTAATGTACTTCTGAGTTAATGGAATCAGTGGTGCTGCAATATCTGATTTCAGGGAGAGAGATTTAAACACCTGTTTCAGTCTGCAGTGCTACTTAGAAATCGGGGGTCTTGCCTCGGTGAACTCAGTAGGCTTCAGAGTAAGTATAAATGGTTTATGGGGCTAACAACCACTCGACTGAAATCAGATGTTAAAGGACCAAATCATTCCTTTCAATTTGTCAAACATAGTGTGTGTGTGAGAGAGAGAGAGAAAGAGAGAGAGAGAGAAAGACAGAGACAGAGACAAAGACAGACAGAGAGACAGAGATAGAGAGAGAGACAGAGACAGAGAGAGAGGGAGAAAAGAGAAACACACACAGAGAGAGACAAAGAGAGAGAGAGAGACAGAGACAGAGAGAGAGAGAGACAGAGAAAGAGAGAGACAGATACACACACAAAGAGAGACAAAGATACACAGAGAGAGAGAGAGAGTGAAAGAGAGAGAAAGAGAGAGAGACAGAAAGAGAGAGACAGATACACACACAAAGAGAGACAAAGATACACAGAGAGAGACAGAGTGAAAGAGAGAGACAGACAGAGAAAGAGAGAGACAGGTACACACAAAGAGAGACAAAGATAAACAGAGAGAGAGTGAAAGAGAGAGA